TGCTGGCCAGTACTGGGAGTATCATCCAATGCTTTTCAATACACTTTGGTGAGCTTCAACTTGTTCCAACTGGCCTTAGATTTCACTAAAAATCCTAGCAAGTTTGGGAAAACTTCATGGTTTGTATAAGTACAAAAATAAAAAGGGAAGGGAAGAAACCTTGAGAAGGGTTTGGACCTCAAAACAGTCACTGTGGACGGAATATGCCCAGTAGCTGTGGAATGTGTACGTATGTTTTGTGCCTTTAAGTCATTTCTGACTCATGGTGAAACCACTGCGGGGTTTTCTTGGCAAGATTTGGTCAGAGGAGGTTTGCAATTGTCTTCCTCTGAGGCTGAGAGCATGTGACTTGCCCAAGGTCATGCTCTCTTTCTTCAGGAAAAGGTCAAAAACAACATAGAACAGAAAACCGGAGGGGACAAGAAACTGGATCTCCTTCAAATGGGCCCATGGATAGGAGAAATCCATAGTGTGACATTTTGCTTGCGATCTCACTTGTCATTGTTCAAGAAAAAACGTATTTCTGTTGCATGGTTAGCCTGAGTATTATTCTGTCCACCTGCCTGAAATAGAGGTGGGCAATGCCAAATGGTCCAAGGATGATTCCCACACACACACAATGTGACCTACTGCAGAGTGCATCCGGCAGGGTGATACTAAAATAGTAAATCAGGGATGGATAGACGTCCATTTCTGGCTTTGTTCTTTTCCACTTGCTTGTGAATTTGTGAGCCCTTGAGTCACTAAAGGGGGTTGCAGACTGCCAGAAATAATGCAAATTGAGTCCACTTTTAGGGTTAGGGTTAGGGTTAGGGATTCATGGGAACTGTATTTTCTTGTGGCACCAGAGCTCTCTGACAGAGAACGCTCAATGTCTCAGAAAAAAATACAACAATTCCCATGATTCCCTAGCACTAACCCTAACCCTAAAAGTGGACTCAATTTGCACTATTTCTGGCAGTCTGCAACCCCGCAATGTGGCCTCCCAGAATGAGAAAATACATGTTTGTGTGCATTAATACACACACACACACACACACACACAGAGCCAGCCCTCCACATTTCCGACTTTGACTTTTGCGGATTTGATTATTTGTGGATTCAATTGATACGTTCTCTCTAGGAATCTCTAGGTCCTTGAGAGTGACTTAGCTGGAAGCAGATCATAGACTCATGCTGGAGGACCTAGCGATTCCTAAAGAAAACACATCTCTAGGGATCTGTAGGTCCTCCTGTGCAATTTTATGGTCAGCGTCTGGCTGATGTTGACCATAGAGGTGTGCTGGAGGACCTAAATGTTCCTAGAGAGGTGTTCTCTCAGGTTAATTTTTTATTTTAAATTTGCATTTCCCCCCACTTTCATGTAGTTCTGATTCCAGAATGCAGTCATTTAAATAGTTTGGATTACAATGACAATCTTAATGGTCCTATTGTCTACTTCACCTTTCATTTGAGGTTTATCAGTGCTATTATTTGTGTGTCGTGTTGTGTGCTTTCAACTCGTTTGTGATTTATGGCAACCCTAAGGTGACCGTATCGTGGTTGTTGTTTTTCTTGGCAAGGTTTGTTCAGAGGAGGTTTGCCATTGCTTTTCTCTGAGGCTGAGAGCATGTGACTTGCTCAAGGTCACCCAGGGGGTTTTCATGCCTAAGCAGGGAATTGAACCCTGCACACTAGGAGCCCTGGTGGCACAGTGATTAAAATGTCGGTTTTGTAGCCACAAGGTTGTGAGTTCAATCCCAGAGGGCTCCAAGGTTGACTCAGCCTTCCATCCTTTCATAGGTCGGTAAAATGAGTCCCTAGCTTGTTGGGGACAATTGGCGTACAGACTGTGGATCGCTTAGAGCAGGGGTAGGCAACCTAAGGCCCGGGGGCCGGATGTGGCCCCCTGAGGCCTTTGGACCAGCCCCAGGCCGCCACTGCCCACCGCCACCGCCCGCCATGATGATATTGATTATTGTTGTTATTACTTGTTCTTGGGGTTTTCTTGGCAGAATCTCCACAGGGGGGTTGTCATGGGTTTTCTGGGGCTGAGAGAGTGTGCATGCATATTTTTTAAAATGTTTTTTTTTTAAGAGAGTGCTGAATTCAGTATGAAGTGGTATAGACATTTAAATGCTATTGCTGCTGCAAAATGCTAATCCGACACTCAAACCGCTATGGCCATGCTGGAGTATACAAATGCAACCAATGTATTTTAAAATGGAGATGCACCTTCCCTCCCAACAGGAGACTTCTATCTTTTGGCTTATGTATATGGGGTGAGGTTGCCCAGTAGCAGGGGATTGCTGGCACCCTCCAGGGAAGGTGCATCTCCCCCCAACCATCTGATGTTCATCACCCTCCCAGCTAAGAAAGCATCATATTGACACTGATCTACTCTGACGCCTCCTTCGCCGGATCCATCACTGTGGCCACTGAGCAGATAAGTCAGACAAGCCTCTAAGAGGAATAAGTGGCTGGCCAGAATGGGAAGTGGGATTAGGATGGCTAATTTGCTTAGGCTAAAAATAACCCAGGGATGGAGGGGGGAAGAGAGTGATCCTGACCCAGGTGGGAGCACAGATCACCATGGGTGCACCTGCATGGCAGAAACAATGCACTTTGGCGCCACTTTAACTGCCACGGCACCATCTGAGAGAAACCTGGTGTTTGTAGTTTGGTGCGGCACTGCCGCTCTTTGGCAGAGAAGGCTGAAGGCCTCATAAAACTACAGATCCCAGTGTTCCATAGTGTTGAGCCACTGGGAGTTAAAGCGATGTCAAACTGCATTATTTCTGCAGTGCAGATGCAACCCCAGGCTCTGTGGTTAAGTAAGGCCCCTTCTTAGCACTTTGCTCCATCCTGGGATGTGCTGACCTTAAAAAGCCAATTTTAAATTAGTTTTTTGTGGGTTTTTCGGGCTGTGTGGCCATGTTCTAAAAGAGTTTCTTTCTGATGTTTCGTCAGCATTTCTCTGAAGATGCCAGCCACGGATGCTGGCGAAACTTCAGAAAGAAATTCTTCTAGAACATGGCCACGCAGCCCAAAAAACCCACAAAAAACTATGGATGCCGGCCATGAAAGCCTTCGACTTCACAATTTTAAATTGTTTTTAATGGAGTTGGTTGATTGTTTTTGTACTAGCCATTGTTAAGCTGTCGTTTGTTTTAACTCAAATTGTGAGCTGCCTTGTGTCCCATACTGTGAAAAAGGCAACAAAATTAAAAATTAATGAAAATGTTAAAATAAATATTGTTTGTCTATTCCTTTCAGGATGTCCTCCAGACAGGGCTAGCTCAAGATATTGAGGGCTGGCTTGAAATATTGATAGGCAAAATGGGACAGATACAGACCACATATAGAATTGGATATATTTGCAAATTTAACACTACTGATGGGATAATGTCCCCCCCCACACACACACACCTCAGTCAGGACGCTACTATTGCCACCCCACATCATCTGCTGCCTGAAGCATTCACCCTACTCATACTCTCCAAATATCCTGATTTGGCAGGGACAGTCCTGATTAATCCTCTGTCATCTCTCCTTTTCAGCTCCTTTTAAAATAACCCAGTGTCTGTCCTCCACCTTTGTCCTCAGCTTACTTCAATTGCTGCACAATGAGTTCAAAGTGCAAAAGTACAAAGTGCAAAATTCTGCAGTGGAAAAGGAGAGGAAAATGCAGGATTTTGCTCTTTCTTGCAGGCTCAGGCAAAAGCAAACTGCTGCAGCCTCTCCCAACTCATCTGTTCTTCCTCATTCATAAACATTCGCCAAGTTGACCACACTCTGATGTTGCTTTGTCACAGGTGTCCTGGTTTTTCATCTGTGAAATGTTGGAGGGTTTCCTAGCTCTGTCTAATGGAAGGGCTGGCCCTGCACCCAAAACTCATTGGGTGTGTGGGCCAAATATTTTGACTTGTGCAACTATCCTTCAAAAAATAATACAGTTGGCCCTTTGTATCCAGGGCAGGATCTGTTCTGGACCCTTCTGTGGATACAAAAAAACACAAGACCTCAAGTCCTATTATCCTCAGTGGCAGTGGTGCAATGTGTGCATGGGCACTAGCGCAACCATGTGCACGCACCACCATTGGGAACAATGGGCCTTGTTGTCCACGGAAGCTCAAATCTATGGATGGCAAGCCAGCGGATGGTGATAACTGTTAACAGATTATAACAAAAACAGATTATTAATCTGTTAACAATAACAGATTATTATTACTGTAGTGATAATCTGAATGTGGGAGTGGAAGAACAGCTGAAATGCAATGCACATTCATCAGTATATTTTGTGCTTGGTATGCACAGTGCCATCTGCATAAAAGGAATGGATGAATAAATAAAAATGTGCTGTCTCTCTTGATTCTGCTATGTGCTTCCAAAGTGGTGGAAGGTGCATCTCTCTGGAGCAGCTGGTAAATGTGATGGCAGATGGTGGGGATGTGCGCCTGCATCAACAGACACCTGACCCCAAACAAACTGCATCAAGCATTTCCAGAAGGAGCATTCAGACGTTATGTGATTTCTTTCTTCCGTACAAGGCTTGTGAACAACTGGGATTGGGAAAGTGTGGACCAGGGGTTGGCAACTTTTTTTTGCCGCGGGCCGGGGAGGGAAATGGTGCTGGGGGCCGGCGCGCGTGCGCTTGGGCGCATGCGTGTATGCACACGATGCCCACCGCTGTGCGCATGCGCACGTGCGTTGGCCGCTGTTGGGCGTTCTGAAACGGTGGCGGCAGCGGCACGCGCACGGCGGTGGCACGCACACGGTGGCAACAGAGGAGGCGGCAGCAGCAGGACCAGCCACGGGCCAGTCCCAAGGCCTTGGCGGGCTGGCCCCGGCCCACGGGCCGTAGGTTGCCAACCCCTGGTGTGGACTGCGGACTAGATACACCCCAGCTCCTTTTGGTGTCCCTCCTAGCCTCCTGAGGATACTGCCAAAGCCCCTGGTGTGTGTATATCCATCTGTATATGCCTTCAAGTGCCTGTTGACTTATGGCAACCCTACCGAAAATCAGTGTAGCGTAGTGGTTTGAATGTTGAACTACAACTCTGAAGACCAGGGTTCAATTCCCAGCTTGGCTGTGAACCCTACTGAATGACCCTGGACAAGTCACACACTCTCAGCCTCAGAGGAAGGCAAAGGCAAACCTTTGAACAAATCTTGCCAAGAAAACCCCAGGATAGGTTTGCCTTAGTGTCACCGTAAGTCAGAAATGACTGGAAGACACACAACAGCATCAACTAATGAAGTTCATAGGGTTTTCTTAGGTAAGGAATCCTCAGAGGTCATTTATCAGTTCCTTCCTCTGAAATACAGTCTACAGCACCTGGGATTTGTTGGTGGTCTCCCATCTAAGTACTAGCATGGCTGACCCTGCTTAGCTTCCAAGATCAGACAGGATCTGGTGCCTTTAGGGTGTTTAGGCCCTTCATACACCCCAAAAAGTGCAGTGAAAAACTGGCCCCAAATCAACTATACCACTGCAAAGCTGCTCCAAAATATAGCAGTTTGGCTTCCTCCACCATAACTCCCTCAACCAAAAAGAAGCCAAAAAGTGGTTAAAATAGAAACCAGAAAGGGCACTGGATCACATGGGGGGATTCCTAAATCCTGCAAGTGCATCTTAGGGTTGATATTTGGCCCAAAAAGTTTCCTCTGCAATCCCTATCAAAATATATCCCAGGGGTTATTCAGATGGTGAAAATAATTCAGGATGAATCTGGGTTGAATCTCTGTTGTTCACACACATCCTGAATGCACCTGATTGTTTTCTGGAGGGATGCCCAAAACTCTGCTTAATCTGGCATAATCGATATCAGGTTTTTCCCTACCAGTTTTTTTTTTTAACCATAATCAATACCAGGTCTGCGTCATTGGTACTGTGAATATCTGACATGAATAGACCTGAATAGACCCGGGATAACTCTGCATGCCTTGAACATGTTCCAAGTGCATTTGCATTATCAACTCCATCTTATTCAAATGGTTGCACATGTGAGCAATGGAACTTGCACATATGTGCATCGATGTGGTTCCCTAGTGTGAATAACAAACCCAAAATGCACGCGTGAGAGATGATCGACATTGTTGTGCTAAAAAAAGACATCTGAATGACTCTGCCCAGTTCCTCTGTTTTCCTCTGCAGTCCCTCTCAAGATGGCAACCAGAAGTGATCTCCCGCCCTGTCATTTCCTGTCACCATTTTGAGAAGGAGACCAGAAGAAAATGGCTTACTGAGCCTTGTCTTACATCCCAGAGTTGGGAAAACATTTCCTTTTTTGGATGACTGCTCCCAGAACCCCTGATCAAAATAGTCATACACAAGGACCTGGTTGTCATACACACGTGAGCCCCGTCTCCTCACCTCGTAACCTTTGCGCTTCTTGAGCCGTTTCTTGTTCAGCTTTTTGTTGGCGTACATCTTGCCGGTGGCCTTCATCTGACAGGCGCAGACCTCCCCAAAGCCCCCTTTGCCCAGCACCCGGAAGTCCATGAACCACTCCTCCGTCACGCTCTGGGACTCCAGCCACTTGAACTGGAGGAAGCGGCCAAAATGGATGCTCTCCTTGTACTTGGCCAAGGCGTTGGCCTCCAGGTACTTGAGGAGGTGCTGCTCGGACTCCTTGAAGAGGTCTCTGTGGCCGTGCTTGGCGTCCTCCTTGACCCTCATGATGGCCTTCTCCTCCAGGAAGGAGCAGAACTCCTTGGAGGCCGAGTCAAAGTATTTGTTGATGCACTTCTGGGCCGTCTTGGGCTGGTCGGCCACCTGCGAGGTCTTGTAGTCCTCAATGCTTTTCCACAAGCCACTGGCTGCTTTGAACACGTCTGTCTCCTCCAGAAACTGCTGGAAGATTTTCTTGCCGATGGGCTGCCTCACGCAGATGAAGTTGAAGTCCAGGTCCAAGGTGTCTTTGATGTGTTCACACTGGGTGATGTGAGGCAGCTTCAGCTTGGCCCGCATCTTCTTGTCCCGGGCCGTAGATGGCCCGCCTTCCCCCCGGGCCGACACATAGGCCGAGTTGGCCACCACTGTCTCAAGACCTCCGATATCCATGGTGAGGTGTCACCTGGAAGGCAGAGACAGAGAAATAGAAAGAGGATGAAATTGGGAGAGAATCAGGGATATTTCCCTAGCCCACTTTGTTCTCCTGCCTCCTCCAGTGGCATATCTTCTTACTGTTCCAACTGGGCAGGGACAGACCTGATTAATCCTCTGCCACCCCATGTTTACAACTGTTTTTAAAATGTCCCAGTTTCTCCCTTCTCCTCCCGCTTTGTCCTCAGCTTACTTCAATTGCTGCAAACTGAGTCCAAAGTACAAAAGGAGTTTGTGATCAGTTAATTCATCACAGGGGAAATGAATTATCATTTTTTCAAATCATTTTTTGACCTGAGATATCTGGGGCAAAATTTGAGACCTAGGGATCTCTCCTGGTGACTGAACTTTGGGCCTTTGAAGACTGCTAGAAATAGTGCAAATTGAGTCCACT